TTTAGAGGCTTTGTCTCAGTTTGTCTTGCCGGCCCTCACTTACAACATCGGGGTCTTGCACTTGACGAAAAGGCACCTCCAGAAAATACGGGCGACAGAGAACAAGATGATGCGCGGGGTCCTTGGTACCAAATTGTAGATCCCAGCGGAGACGCATCTTGATTTCGATTTCGATTGGGATGATGATCTCGTTGGGGAGCACTGCCGCCTCATCAACGTGAAGCTCAACTTGCTGCGGTCAAAATACAATTTAGAACGCTGGGACATAATTTGCCTCGAGAGAGTCTTTACGTGGGCCGCGCATGTGGCACGTTTTGGCAAGTATTCTCAGGACAGGATCGCGTGGCAGGTGTTGCAGTTCCGTGGTATTGCATATTTACGTCAACTGGAAAAGTCATACGGCCAACAATGTCATGGTAGATGTTTCCATATGTGGAGATACGAACACCAGTTTTCGAAAATCTTCGGCGATGATTGGCAGAATCTGGCTATGGACCAGGAGCAGTGGGCAGATCTGAAAGAGTATTGGCTGACACAACGATTTCTGAGGTAGGGTTAAGATCCGGACTAGCACTAGTACGCCGTGCCTGCACGCGGGTAGCCGCAGACCTTCGGGTAAGCAGCGTCACAGACAGACAGTCGTCGTCGTTTTCGTCGTCGTCATCATCGTCGTTCGTCGTCCTCATCGTCTTCATCGTTCGTAAACTACGCTCTGGCATCAACTTCCACCAAGATCTCCCACAGGTTGTACACTGGGGGTGGACAGGTCTCGTGGTGCTCGAAGTGCGGTGCTTTCGGCAACAGAAGGTCGCAGTATTTGGTTGCCAAATATATCGGCCACCCGCGCAATAATGATGCTGCGCGGAGTCTCAAGATGCTCCGCGAAGGCAAGGACCCGTCCAGTAAGGTGTTTGTTGGTCGGAGTTTTCCATTAAAACGACTGGCGTGAGCTTGGGCTGGGTCGGGTTGCTGTTGGGAGGCCAGCAGCCCCGACGTCGCCCAGGCCCGCTGTCGTTCTCAATCAACTGGGCCCGATGTTCGCTCGTTCGCGAGTTGGGGATTTGGCCTTGAATGGAGCAACTGGAGAAACAGGAGGGAGGAGGAGGGAGGAGAAAGAGGAGGAGGACGAGGTGGAGGAGGTGGAGGAGGAGGAGGAGGAGGAGGGGGAGGGCGGAGGAGGAGGAGGTGGAGGAGGAGAAAGGAGGAGAGGAGAAAGAGAGGGAGGAGGAGGAGGAGGAGGAGGAGGAGGAGGAGGAGGAGGAGGAGGAGGAGGAGGAGGAGGGGGAGGATGAGAAGGAGGACGAATAGAAGGAGGTGCAGGAGGGATGACCAGAAGGAGGACGAACAGAAGGATGAGGATGGATGACGTCACGTGTGAGATGTATGTCCCTAGGAGTAGAAGGAACCGACATATCGCAGTACGGCGAATAATGAGAGGGAGGAGGAGGAGGAGGAGGAGGAGGAGGAGGAGCATCAGAAGGGATAGTATTGCTACATATGCCACGTTGCCGTCTCCAGGTGACATTCTTATGATGATGTTGATGCTGATGCTGATTATGATGATGCTGCTGCTGCTGATGATGATGATGATGTGGATGATGATGATGATGATGCTGATGATGATGATGATGATGATGATGATGATGATCATAATGATGCTGATGATGATGACGGTGAGGTTTATTGTGATGGTGATGATGCTGATGATGCTGATGATGATGATGATGATCGTACTGCTGCTGATGATGATACTGATGGGGTTGAGAATGAGGATGAGGATGCGGATGCCGATGAGCATCCGGATCATGATCACGACGATGTTGCTGCTGCTGATGATGATGGGAAGGAGGATGCGGATGCGGATGAGGACACGGATGAGGATGAATTTGATAATGAGGATGATGATGATGATGACGATGACGATGATGATGATGATGATGATGATGATGATGATGTTGCTGATGATGCTGATGTAGACGATTCTGATGATTATGGTGGTAGTGGTGGTGATACTGGTGTTGCTGATGATGATGCTGCTGATGATGATACTGATGCTGCTGATGATGATGATGATGATGAGCATGGTGATGAGGTGGGGAATTAGGATGCAGATGAGGATGAGGATGAGGATGAGGATGTTGACGATGGTGCTGATTCATGATGATGATGGTGATTCTGATGATGATTAGGCTGATAATGATGGCGATGACGATGCTGATGATGACGATATTGATGGTTATGATGATTATGTTGATGCTGATAATCTTGATGATGATGGTGATGGTGATGCTGATTATGCTGACGATGATGATGATGATGATGATGATGATGATGATGATGATGATGATGATGACGATACTGACGATACTGACGATGATGATGCTGCTGCTGATGATAATGCTGATGATGATGGTTGTGGTGGTGATGATGCTGATGATGATGATGATGTTGGTGGCGGTGGTGGTGATGGTGATGATGATGATGCTGCTGATGATGATGATGATGCTGATGATGATGCTGCTGCTGATGATGATGATGATGACGGGGAGGAGGATACTGAAGATGATGGTGCTGCTGCTGATGATGATGATGATGATGGTGATGATGAGGAGGAGGAGGAGGAGGAGGAGGAGGAGGAGAGGATGAGAAGGATACTGAGGAGGAGGAGGGGGAGGAGGAGATGGAGGAGCATGCGGAGGAATTGGGGGTGCCGCGGGGGAGGTGGTTGCCAGATGGTTGCGAGGTGGTTGCCAGGTATCTAGTGGCGGGAGTCGAGATAAGTTCCGAGCCAGAGATTGTCAGGTAGGGGTTCCCAAGAACAGAATTCGGCGGGGTGGGGGTGCCGGGGCCAGGTGGTGGCGAGGTGGCGGGGTTTGCGGAGAATGACGCGTGGTGCGTGTTTGGGAAGGATACCTTATACACGTCTGGGGCTCGAACATCGCCAGGGGCGGAGAGGATACCTCCTCCGCCTACGGATGAGCACGCGTAGTGCATGGTCGTGAAGGATACGTCACACGCTAAAGTCGGCCGCACACGCCACTTGGGGCGGCGGATTTTCGCGTGACGTTGCCCAACTGAATTGACTGGCCGCGCCTGTTAACAGGTTGTTTGTTTCTGGCGGCCTGGTTCGCAACCTATGGCGCACCCCAAGAGAAGTTTCCTTAACCTGGGCCGCCGAATGCGCAGCGTATGTCGCAGCCGTAAGGAGTCCGCTACATCGTCGGCCGCCGAGTGCTCAACCTATGGCACAAACAATGGCAGGCCGTTTTGTTACTAGTTATCGGCCGCCGAGTGCGCAACCTATAGCGCAACGAATAGCAATCCGTTGTATCTTCGGCCACCCATGACGCAACGTATTCTGCAACAAGTAGCAGGCCCTTTGAGTCTCGGCCACCGAGTGCGCAACTTTTGGCTCAACCAGCAGCAGGCGTAGTGAGGGCTGGCTGCTGACTTCGTGAATTCAGGCGCAAACCATGGCGCGCCCCACGGATGGCGCAACAAAAGGTGAAATCTGTGGCGCGGCCCATGGTTGGCGCAACCCACTGCCCAACCAAAAGCGCATCCCACGGACGGCCAAACCGACGCAACCCATGGATCGTACAGCCAAGGCGCAACCAGTGGATCGCGCAACCCATGGCGCAACCTGTTGCAACAACACCCATGGACTGCGCCACCTGCGGCGCAACCCAAGGAGGGCTGAACCCATTGGCGCAGCCCATGGATGGCGCACCCCACGGCGCAATCCACGGAGGGACGAGCCCACGGTGGAACCCATGAATCGCGCAGCCCATGGTGCGCAACATTGGTGGCACCCTCTCCTGTCATTTTCCGCGGGGCCACGCCCGATGTGTGTTCGCCGTCTGGGCAGGCGGTGCCACCCCCCCCCCGCGGCGAGTTGTCGTGCGATGTTCCACATCGTCGCCCCGAAGTGTGCAGATCACACCATTATCGTCAGAGGGTGATGACGAGGGTAAGGACGCGACGGTGGCGGTGGCGATGTTTTTTGATCATGCTGGTATTGTTGCTGTTGCTGCTGATGATGCTGGTACTGACGCTGATGCTGATGCGGCTGACGATTATGATGGTGATGATCATGTTGCTGCTGATTATGTTTCTGCTACTGATGCTGTTGATGGTGGCAATGCTGCTGCAGCAGATGCTGCTGATGTTGTTGATGATACCAATGGTGGTGATGGTGATGTTGATGGTATTGGTAACATTGATGATGATGATGATGATGATGATGATGATGATGATGATGATGATGATGATGATGATGCTGCTGCTGCTGCTGCTGCTGCTGATGACGATGCCGATGCTGCTGCTGATCATGATGACGATGATGAGGATGAGGATGCTGATGCGGATTAAGATGGTTGTGATGGTGATGCTGATGATGGTCGTGATGATGTTGATGACGATGCTGGTGGTGGTGATGTTGATAATGCTGATGCTGATGCTGGTGACGATGCTGCTGCTGATGCGTATGCTGATGATCGTGATGCAGATGCTGCTGCTGATGATGATGGTGACGACTGTGATTGTGATTCTCCCATCGATGCTTATGGTGAAGGGTGGTGGTGCTGATGCTGGTGATGATGATGGTGGTGATGATGATTATGATGCTGACGATGCTGATGATGATGAAGATGATCATGATGCTGATGCTGATGCTGAGGCGGAGGCTGATGCTGCTGCTGGTCCTGATGACGATGATGAGGTTGATGAGGCTGGTGCTGATGCTGATGATGACGATGCTGCTGATTCTGATGATGCTGCTGGTGATGCTGATGATGATGGGTGTAGCGGCGGTGGCGATGCCGATGACCACTCGTAATGCATATCAAGGTAGCGATGATGAGGACAATGACGACGACGGAACACATTGACTATGATGGTGACGATTTATAACTGTGATGGCGACGACGATGACGATGACGACGTTGACGATGAAGTTGCTGTATGTGATGTGGCGATGCAGGATGACTGCCCCTTCCAAGGCGTACTGCTGCGAGAACGAGCAAGTCGGCTGCGGCGACGGTCAAAGCGCCATCGTCGACGACGCGCCCCGCGGCAGGGGAGGAGGCGGAGGTGCAGGATGATCGTGAGTGGTGACGAGAAGGATGGATGGGAAGTGACGAGGGGCTGAGGGTGGGCAAGGAGGGGCAGGGTGACGCTCGGCATGAGGGAACTGGAGGCTCCCGTGGAGCCTGCCAGCCAGCCTGGAAGCCTGGAAGGGTGGCGCCAGGGTGTTGAGACCGCCCTGGACTACTCGGGGGGGGGGGGATGTTGAAGGCAGCCAGGGCTACCTCGAGCCTCGGGCGGCTGTCTGTGCGAGGTGCGAAGCCTTCTTAGGGAGAGAGGTGTTCATTTTGGATGCGGCCAGCTTCTGTCCTCAGTACTTCCTGCTGGTCTTCCCCTGGTTCTTTTCGTGTGCCTATGCGCAAGAGGCTCCCGAGAGGGGCCTCGGTCCTGATGAAAGTTTCCTCGTGGTAGATTTACGTTGTTTATCACCATTTTGGCCCAAGGCTTGCCGCTCCCCTCGACCGCCCTGCGGCGTTTTGAATGCGAGTGATCGCGCTTGAGTCATCCACGCTTTGGCAACTTCGTCGCGCGGGCTGAGGCCCAACGTCGGCGCGCGCGGGGCTTCCATGCGCCGTGGGGGCGCCGAGCGCGGCTCTGCTGGAGGAGGCAACGGCGAGGGCAGCTGCCCCCCCCACGCCATCCACAGGCGAGAGTGGCGCAATCGGCGGCGGAACGGTGCGGTGCCTCTCGCCCAGGCGCCAGCCATTGCGCAAGGCTTCAGGCTACGCCATTTGCCGCCGCATGCCGATCACCAGCGTGCGGGTGCCAGTTCGCGAAGGCGCGGCCACAGCGCTGCACGGGTGGCTGGCCGGCTGGCCCGCGCAGCCCTCGCTGGAGGTTCGCCTCGCCACCCTCAACGGTCCAGGGCAGGACCCGCGGCGGTGGCAGTGGGCGCCGCAGGCGTTCGGGCAGGTCCCCGTCCCCGCCACCGACGCGCAGCGCCAAGCGGATGCTGGCCCGCGGGCCCAAAGCGCGCCTGGGTGTGGCGCTATGTGCTGCGCGGCCACGTCAGAGGAGGAGGAGGAGGACGAGGAGGCGTTGGCGTGCCCGGCCCGAGGGCGCCGTAACAGGGCGCCCCTGGCTGAGTGCTGTAGAGGTTCTCCCGTCGAGTCGCTGTGGGGGTTCACGGGCCAGGCGGGGCAGCGCTCCGTCGTGGCCGCCACCCCGCTGCAGGAGGTCCGCAGCCGCTGGTTCGCAGCCCTCGGCGCGGGGCCACCAGGTTGGCAGCGGTCGCACCGGCGCGGGTGGGCGGGCAGGCGGCCCGATCGGGGATGTAGAAGGAGACGGCCCACCACGGCGCACCGCGGTGGACGACCCCCGTCGAGGGTGAGACGGCGGCCCGCAGGGGCGACGTTGCCGCGGCCCCCTGGCAAAAGCTGGTGGCGCCAAGCGGCGGTGGCGCCAGCGGGAGTGCGGCCAGCGCGATGCGCCCCCCCGAAGAGAGGTGGCCCTGGCGCGAGCCGGGGGGCAGCCGAGTCCTCGCCCACCGAGGTTGCCGTCGCGCACGGTCGGTTACAGCCAGGACCACCAGGCACTGGGAGCCCAGGAGGCGCCAGTAAAGCCAGGTACGTAAGCTGGTGTTTTTTTGGGGTGTGACGGCAGTTCCGGTTAGTGGAATGGAGCGGGGGAAGGGCGTCCCCTGGCACACGTCACTAAACCAGGTCCCATTAACCCCAGTCCCGCCAACACCCGATGGTCTCCTAAGCCTTCAGCTCACCTGTGGCGTCGGCCTCGCCCAGCGCGCGTTGCAGACGGGGTCGAGACGAGGCAAGCGCGCGCCGCCCCCGGAGGCGCCGTCACGGCGGTGAGGCTCGCCGGGACAGCCGATTCGGCGCGTTTCGATGCAACGTACGCAGCTCAAACAACCGCAGCGTTGCTGGATTTGTGCATATTGTTCCATCTCCTTCCGCTCCATTGCCTCCACATTGGCATTCGGCCGGCCTTTTCAGGGGTGTAGGTTTCGCTGTGTTGTTAGTATTCCTCTCTTCTTTGTAATGTGTGCACGCTTTTGTTTATGAACATCGTGGAGCCAACGTGCTTCCAGCGTTCCAGCGCCACCGCCGTGCTTTTCCAGGGTCGTTCTCCGAGACGATTGTCGGCGTCCTGTCCTGTCCTGTCCCGCGGTCCTTCTATAGGATCTGATCCGTCGCTCCTCGCGCACCACGCGCAACCGAGCCCTGCCGCTTCTGCGTGCCCCCAGGCCTCCGAAGTGGGGTCCGAGTAGATGGGGTCGGAGACCGCATCGCCGTTGCGGCTCGATGTGGAGCTGCGCTTCCTCCGCACCGACGTCGCCGATGCATCGCCGACGTCGCCGATGCATCGATTCATCGGCGCTGCAGCGCGACCTCAGACCCTATCGACTCGGACCCCACCCGGGAGGCCCCCCCGTGCTGGAGCTTCGAGTCTGCCCTGCGGGGCAAAAACTGCGCCCGGGGCGCCGCTTCGTCGGCCGCGCCCTGTCCGCGGGCCTGCTCCGTGCTTGCGGCGGCGGGCGCCCCCCCCCGAAAAGACGTGCGAGAGGCGCCCGGCGCAGAGGAGCCCTGGCCGGCGGCCTCTCCGGCTCCCTGCCGGTTGCTGCTCCCTGGCTCCCGCCGTGGTGTTGCACCGTTTGCGCTGCGGCTGGCCGCCACCCTCGCTGGGCCCTGCTTCCGAGGGTCGTACTCCTCCTGCGCCTCCTCCTCCTCCTCCTGCTCCTCCTCCTGCTCCTCCTGCTCCCGACCTCCCTCTTTTTTGTTGTTTAAAAACCCTCCCTCTTCCTCCTCCTCCTCCTCCTCCTCCTTCTCCATGCATCCATGCATCCATCCATCCATCCATCCATCCATCCATCCATCCTTTTTCGTCCTCATCTTCCTCCCTCCTCCTCCTCCTCCCCCCGTTTCTGCAGGGAGGGGGCGGGAGTGGGGGAGTGGCCCCTCCTGCTCATGACCTGCCCCTGGCCCTCCTCTTCCTCCTCCTCATCTTCCTCCTCCTCCTCCTCCTCCTCCTCCTCCTCCTCCTCCCTCCCTTTGTCCCTCCCATCTCACTCCTCTTCATCTTCGTCCTGCTTCTATGTCGCCGCCAGGACGGTAGCTACCGGTGCGAACTCGCCACCATGGCGCGCGTGGGAGGGGTGTCGGCGCGGCATGGCCATCGGGCCCCCCCAGGGTCGTCGTCTCCGCCGTCGTCGTCGTCGTCGTCGTCGTCGTCGTCGTCGTCGTCGTCGTCGTCGTCGTAGTAGTCGTCGTTGTCCTCCTCCTCCTCCTCCTCCTCCTCCTCCTCCTCCCTTGGCTTTCACGTGTCCAGGCGCGCGAAGCCGTCGCCGAGGCCGCAGCCTCGTCATCCAAGAACTGAGCGGTTACATAGCCAGCTGATTCGCACTCTTTGGATCGTGGACGGCAAGTGATGTTTGCTCCTTCGCGTTCTCGTCCTCTTCGTTCTCATCGCCGGCATCATAATCGGAGTAGCATGATAATGGAAGAAAAGAGGAGTCGGCGTGGCGTGAGCCCTGATGGGGAGGGGACTGCCAGCGCGCAAAGAAGCGCCCCATGGGATGAGCACGGGACCCTGAAAGATGCTCGCCTCTTACAATGAAAGCACGTCGTCTGCAGAAGGCCCGTTTTCGTGTGCAGCCCTCTGCATGTCTCACTTCCGTTCAATCCTTATCGAAAACGCCTACGGCGAATCACCGCCGCCCCCTGCCTTTTGGAATCGCCCATTTGGCCGAAAGTTTCGGCCAGAGCTCTGCCAAGCTATCCGACCATGTCTTCCCCCAGCCGTTGTATAAACTCTTCGGGAACACGCGCGGGAGAAAGAAGAAGCAGAGGAGATGGAGGACAAATGATGATGGTGCTGATGCTGATGCTGATGCTGCTGATGCTTACGCTGATGCGTATGATACTGATGACGATGATGATGCTGATCATGCTGATGATGATGATGATGATGATGATGATGATGATGATGCTGATGACGATGATGATGATGATGATGATGATGATGATGATGATGATGATGATGATGATGCTGATGATGATGATGAGGATGATGATGATGAGGAGGATGAGCATGAGGATGAGGATGATGCTGATGCTGATGATGCTGATGCTGATGTTGCTGATGATGCTAATAACGATGATGACGATGATGATGCTGCTGCTGATAATGATGCTGATGATGACGATAATGGTGATGGTTGATGGTGATGGTTATGATGATGCTGATGATGATGATGATGATGATGATGATGATGATGATGAGGAGGAGGAGGAGGAGGAGGAGGAGGAGGAGGAGGAGGAGGAGGAGGAGGAGGAGGAGCGTCGGAAGCAAACGCAGTGAGAAACCTGAGGGGGATCCATGATTTTGGCCTCTCGGGGCGTTGTTGGGAGGAGTCGGGACGTCTCGAAGGCTTCTTGGGTCGTCTTGGGGCCATCTCGGGCTTCTTGGACCACTCGTGCGGCGATTCGGGGCCCTCTTGGACCGCCTTGGGGCCGCTTGGAACCCTCCTGGCCCCTCTTGGTGCCCTCCAGGGTGAAGAAGTCACGCGAGAAGCTGCGACTCGCCCCGGGAGGCACGCGACGGGCCCCAAGGGCGAGGCGGTGCGGCCCAGGAGATTGGCAATGTTGGGTCCGGCCCCAAGAGAACTGAGGCTCCAGGGGATCCAGCAAGGGACCTGAACGCACTCCAACTCGTGCCTCCAGGGCACGGTACCGGATACATACATATGTGTGCATATGTTTACACAAGTGTTTGCTCATGTGTATATTTATATATATATATATGTGTACATACACATTTGTACACGAGGTGGTGCATGTTTTTCCATTGCCACAAAGTTGTTGCATTTGGTGCACGTGATGCGCACTTGCACACAGCACCAACAACATTTTTGCGTAGGGGTTGCGCCATGCCATGGGCTAATTGTTTTGAACATCGGAGTTTGTTTTTGCTGGGGGATTGATGCGCTTGCCTGTTTCGTGCAGGACACATGCAGCTTCGTCGCATTACGGTTATACTGAACGCCTTTCCATACAATATGTTTGCCACTGTTGTGGTTCAGATGCAAACATATTTTCACCGTTCTTGCGGGCGTTGAGCACTTCGATGCAAATCGTCGGTTCCTCTAGAGCACATCGTGTCTTGCACTCTGGTTGCACCTCATGTTTACCCATGTTCCTATCCAGCTGCCTTTGGAAAACCGCGCTACCGTGCCAGCTCAGCCCCGCAGCATGAATGAGGTCGAGTTTCAAGAGTCCCTCGAGTCCAGTGTTTTTTTTTAACTGGCGCATGTCTTGAACACCATCTCCTTGTTCGCAGCCTCGTTCGTATGTTCCTTGCTCATTCGTCCTCTTTTCCCCCCTTGAAGGTATCTGGTGCGGTCCTCTGGGCCTCTTTAGAGCGTCTTGGGCGCTTTGGGCGCCTCTCGGGGCCATGTTGATTTCCCGATGGTACCCAACGGGGGTCCCGGTGCCGTCTTGGGCGCGATGGTTCTACAGAGCTCTCCCGGAGAGGCTCTATTGAACCGTCTTGGAGACGTCTGGGCAGGTCTTTGGGCCGTCTTGAAGCCCCTTTTGTGCCGTTCTGGGCTGTCTTGGGGCGCTCGTGAGACCGTCTTGGGTCTTCCCAAGGGTTTCGTGAGATTCTCCGAAGTTTGCCTGAGGCGATCTCAGGCTGAAAAGAGTGCGAATCAACCAACATTTGTTTGTTTTTTAGTTCCCAACCATCCTGTGGTTTTGGGTCCTCGTTTTGAAGAGACAGCGCCCGCGTCCTCCTTCCTTCCTTCTCCTCCCGCTGCCTCCCCTCCCTCTCCCCATCATCAGCATCATCGTTACCATCCCACCCCCATTTCGGCAAACCCCTCACACATTTCGTGACCCCATAGGGAGCTCCACCGAAGGCCCCAGTGGCAAAGTTCGCATGCAGTTCCACCCCCATTTGGGCCCACCCCTCACACGGGTCGTGGCCCCGTAGGGAGCTCCACCGAAGGCCCCAGTGGCAAAGTTCGCATGCAGTTCCACCGCTATTTTGGCGCCCTTCACACGGTTCGTGGCCCCGTAGGGAGCTCCACCGAAGGCCACCGTGGCAAAGTTCGCATGCAGTTCCACCCCCCATTTCGGCGCACCCCTCACACGGTTCGTGGCCCCATGGGGAGCTCCACCGAAGGCCCCAGTGGCAAAGTTCGCATGCGGTTCCACCGCCATTTCGGCGCACCTTTCACAGGGTTCGTGGCCCCATAGGCAGCTCCACCGGAGGCCACCGTGGCAAAGGTCGCATGCAGTTCCACCCCCATTTCGGCGCACCCTTCACAAGGTTCGCGGCCCCATAGGGAGCTCCACCGAAGGCCCCAGTGGCAAAGTTCGCATGCAGTTCCATTGCCATTTCGGTGCCCCCCTATACGGTTCGTGGCTCCATGGGGAGTTCCTCCGAAGGCCCCAGTGGCAAAGTTCGCATGGAGTTCCACCGCCATTTCGGCGCACCTCTCACACGGTTCGTGGCCCCATAGGGAGCTCCACCGAAGCCCCCAGCTGCAAAGTTCGCATGCAGTTCCACCCCATTTCGGCGCACGCCTCACACGGTTCGTGGCCCCATAGGGAGTTCCACCGAAGGCCCCAGTGGCAAAATTTGCATGCAGTTCCATTGTCATTTCGGCGCACGCCTCACACGGTTCGTGGCCCCATAGGGAGCCCCTCCGAAGGCCCCAGTTGCAAAGTTCGCATGCAGTTCCATTGCCATTTCGGCGCACGCCTCACACGGTTCGTGGCCCCATAGGGAGCTCCACCGAAGGCCCCAGCGGTGACAAAGTTCGCATGCAGTTCCACCCCCATTTCGGCGCACCCTTCACACGGTTTGTGGCCCCATAGGGGGTTCCACGGAGGGCCCGCGTGGCAAAGTTCGCATGCAGTTCCACCCCCGTTTCGGCGCACCTTTCACACGGTTCGTGGCCCCATAGGGAGCTCCACCGAGGACGGTATTCACCCCTCTCGAGGATCGTGGTTTTGTCGGCACACCCCTCTCGAGGATCATGGCCTTGGCCCCACATGCGCTCCACCGAAGCTTCATTTCGGCACACCCCTCTCGAGGATGGCCCTGGGCCCACATCGAGCTCCACCGAAGCCTCATTTCGGCACACCTCTCTCGAGGATCGTGGCTCTAGCCCCACAGGGGGCTTCACCGAATCTTCATTTCGGCACACCCCTTGTCGAGGATCGTGGGCCTGGCCCCACAGGGAGCTCCACCGAAGGCTCATTTCGGCATACCCCTCTCGAGGATCGTGGCCCTGGCCCCACAGGGAGCGCCACTGAGGCTCATTTCGGCACACCCTCTTGAGGATGGTGGCCCTGGCCCCATAGGGAGCTCCACCGCAGCTTCATTTCGGCACACCCCTCTCGAGGACTGCGCCCCTGGCCCCACAGGGAGCTTTACCGAAGCTTGATTTATGCACACCCCTCCCGAGGATCGCGGCCCAGGCCCCACAGGGAGCTCCACTGAACTTTCATTTCGGCACACCCCTTTATTAAAGGATCGTGGCCCAGGCCCCACAGGGAGCTCCACCGAAGCTTCATTTCGGCACACCCTCTCTCGAGGATCGTGGCCCTGGCCCCACAGTGAGCTCCACCGAAGCTTCATTTCGGCACACCCTCTCTCGAGGATCGTGGACCTGGCCCCACAGGGAGCTCCTCCGAGGCGTCATTTCGGCACACCCTCTTGAGGATGGTGGCCCTGGCCCCACAGGGAGCTCCACCGAAGCACCGTTTCGGCAAACCGCTCTCGAGTATCGTGGCCGTGGCCTCACAGGGAGCTCCACCGAAGCTTCATTTCAGCACACCCCTGTGGAGGATCGCGGCCCTGGCCCCGCAGGGAACTCCACCGAAGCTTGATTTCGGCAAGTTTCACCGAAGCTTCATTTCGGCACACCCCTTTATTGAATCGCTTCGCTCATTCCGCCGGCCCGTGATATGGCATCGCTGGTTTTTGTCTGTGTGTTCGTTGCCCATGTTGCGCTCTTGGGGGCGGGTGTCGTTCGGACGCGTTGCGTGGGGAGTTTTGATGGTGAAGCAGTTCCCTGGGGGTCGTCTCTCGATGGGGCGAAATAGAGTCGTCGTCAAGATGCTTCTTTGGGGGGCCTCTTGGGGT